GACCATGATCAGTCACGTATTCGTCATACGGTAACGAAGAATTGAACTGGACGCGTCATCGGGATCCAAACAATGACTTTATCTTCGCGGAATCTGACGAAAGCGAAACTTTTCTAACATCAACAATTTACTTCCAATTTTTCAGACATTCCCGAATATTCACTCGAAATATTCATATCTATAAGAACACTTCTCTTGGCCAAATTTCTTTTAAAAATAAAAAAACAGAAAGAAACAGAAAAGTTCGATATCTCTGTAAATATGGAAAATCAAAAAAAGAATTTTCATTCATTGATTTTATCTCTTTAAAAAAGTTATTGTTTGAATTTGAAGAAGAAGAAGAAGAAGAAAAAGGAAACATTACTGGCGATAGTTATAATTTCGGTAATAAAATAAAAGCTCTATCGTGTTAGAGTTTCGGGGCCCCAATCCTACTTCGGAGAGTCCCGCAGACAAGCTTTTGGACCCTATTGTTGGATTCGGGGTAGGACAGCCCGTATATATACCCTCCCAGGCAGGCAAACGAGGGTTGCAACCTTTTATTCGGCGAAGGGTCGCCAGTCGGCTATCGGCCCCCGGTTCTTTTTGTCTGGTTCGTCGAAGCGACAACGGAGAAATCCCCCCTTGTCAGGCAGCCGGGCGACTGTACCATGCCTGCCTGTTTGCCTGTCGTCCTATGACTGACGACAGCAGGCCAACGCGTATTTCTTTGCCTCGACGAGCGGAAACGAACTTTTACCAATCTTGCTACTAGGAAATGACTGGTGATAGAGGAGAATGGAACAACTCGGATAGAAATACTGTAATCGTGACAATTTTGGGGAATTTCTGATTTAAAGGATCATGGGGAGAGAGGTTGAAAATTTTTAGATCAATCTTTCTCGGTTGCTGAATTATGAAAAGGAAATTGTATAATAGGGATAAAAAACAATGATTGGTGATAAATAATAATTAATAATAAACATAAATTTCTTTTAAATATTTATAAAATAAATAAAATAAAATAAATATTTTATATACAACATATGCATAGAAATTGCATTAAGTTAACCTCTTTCCTATGATTATCATCTTTAATCAAGAAATGCAAATGATCATGAAAAAACTACAATTAAGACTTTATATTTATGCTCTTACGATACCATCATCGATTTTACATGACCATTTGCATCTATTTATTTAAATTTCGATTTGACGATGAACATTTTATTTTTATAAATAATTCTTGAAATTTGTCATATTTAATATAGATAAATATAGGTAAATTATTTAAAAAATAAATAATATTAATATATAAATAATAATAAATAATATGAAAATATTTTTATAATATGAAATATGAAAATATAATTATGAAAATATAAACATTATTATTTTTACTTAAAACAATTATATCACAGAAATTAAATCAATTTGAAAAAGATTTAAAAGAAGTTCGATAATCAGACATTTCTTCCATCATATTTTCATTTTTATCAGCTCACAACAGCGATTCTGCAACCAAACGAAAAAGTTTTTCAATAATGAAAGGGAATCGATTCCCTTTGGGGACAGACCTTTAAAATACAATTTTCTCTACTTCATTGCTAGCTAACGATCTTCGACTTTATGATGATAGTGACTTGCACATTTCTTCTCGTATATTTAACTCTATCCAAATCAAACTTCGCCATTTTTAAAAATTTTTAAAAATTTTAATAAAAATAAAAATCGATATATATATATATATATATATACAAACATTTACCCATCATAATGCAACTTCTCAACTCAGCATCTCGCGATTACGTAAGCATCGCAAGAGCGCGAAGAACAGCATGCCGCGTGACGGCTTTGAAACAGGAAAAGATCCTAGAAAATGGCGGAATATAGCGAGGCGCGAACCGCGCCTGCGGCTCATCAACGCCACTGCGTTCTCGTCGCGTCTCTCACCGATGCTGGAGGAGCCAAGTGGAAGAGTTTACTGTTAGCCGGAGTACACGTAGTATACACAACTAGTGTGTCTAATAGCAAAAGCTACGGGATGTATATCGGGGAGCTAGCTGGTCGTACGACCAACCGACCAGCCAACCAAGCACCACACAGCAGCAGCCATTGCGTTCACCAGACTAGAGAGCCAGCTAGGCCAACGACAGCCGGTTGGGTGTTGGTGAAAGGTGTGGCCGCGTTGGCTACACAAGAAAACGAGAATGCAATATTCCGGCTGCTTACACGATATTCACCGTCAAATACGCAGTCGGTAGAAAAGCATGGAGAGAATCGACTAACTCTAGGCATAATCGTTCTCATCCTGCTGCTTGATTATTCTCTTATTCTCGATGTCGATGAATATCCATCGAACGAAAGAAAAAAGGAAAGGAATACGGAAAAAACAAAAGAAAGAGAAGAATAGAGAAAGATATCGAAAAGAACTTTGATGACTTTCCGGATGTGGTCGAGAACAATCCAAAAAGTATCGCTTAATGCGATTCTTAAACGATCTCTTATGCCTATGTTTTCAAACGCCAAGTATCATTCTGTTGATCCTTACGGAGGATACTTGGCCTACCTTTTTCAGGTATTCACTGATTCATTGTCGGATGTTATGCTGTTCTCTATATTTACATATACGGAACCGGAAGATCATTGTCGTATGATGATACCTATGAATTTTTGGTTTTGTTGTGAGGAAGAAAAATACTGGAACAAGTTTTTTTAAAGGCAACAAATTTTTTGGGAGAAAAAGTTTTTGTTGTATGAACTATACAACTGATTGATAATATATTGTTGCCTCAAGTATATATACACTCTTATCCTTTAAGTATATTTAATGGTGTATTTTAATAATTTATTTAATGATACATTTTTATGTCAACACTTTTTTGTTAGATTATTTTGGTAAAGATAGATTTTTCACGCGATAAATTCCCGCGAAAGAAGAAAGAATGGCAATGGAAGATATTCGCCTGTAGCGGTACTGTCCTTGCACGATCGCCTCGAGCAATACCGGCCCGGGTCGTAACTGTTCCCGTATCCTGCCTCGGCTATTCCTAGCTCGGTGTCGAGCAAAGTGCAACTACATTAAGGAGATTATGAGATATTGAAAATGACGATGAATACGCGGGATACAATCCTCGTTTCGCCATCCAATATTATTTTATTACACTAATATAGTTAAAATTACCAAAATGCATATAAATTTATAATTATAGGCTTTCTTAATATCCACAGATATACTACTATGGAATATTTATAATACAATTTTTTGAATTTTTAAATTATAATATTTAATTTCATAAAAACTATAAATGAAGATGATAGATTTTCATAAACATTTTCATAATTAATTATTCTCATGTATATTAAGAATCATTATCACAGACCAATCATAGTTGAACATTGATTTGCGTCAAATGTAAAGTCTGTTTCTTTTGTTTATATATATATATATATATACAACGTCTAAGATATTGCACGAAGACTGTCTAGAATCATGGAGAATAGATAACATATACATGTTAATAGTGCGAAGTTTGATGAAGTTATATCACATTCAAAACGAAATATCTTGGTCATATTTGTATTTATATATTAGTATGTTATATTCTTCGAATCTCGAAATTTCTATATGAAAAATTGAAGACAGAATGTTGCAGTTTTTTTCCTATACATTTTGCCGCGAATAATAACCGACGTTGCAAAATTGACTGATATAATGAAGCTCCAGCGAAAATCGCTTGCATAAGGCAGCCGCTCGACACGAGCGGGCTGAAGAACACGATACCGAGTGTACGTTGTCAGCACGTCTACGATAGCTGGTGGATGTAAAAAGAAAAAAAAAATAAATCGATTATGTGAGAATTAAAGAATGATTGTTGTAGTGTAAAACTCCAAATTACACGATCAATATAATACGTTAATTGATCGATAATTGTATGAAAATAAATTTCAGAAATTTTTTTTTTAATTCTTTTAAATTGAATGGCTCTTTTTTTAAATATAAAAATATTATAAATAGATAATTTAATAATAAAATATAATAATAAATTATTAATCAATTTATAAAATGTATGTACGTAGTATTAAAAAATATGTAAAAAAATTTAATTAATTTCATAAAATAAAAAATTAATTCGTAATAATAACTATTCTTTTCCTTTAAAAGACGAACTTCGTTATTGTCTTTTAAAAAACTTATTCGAAATAAAAGAAATACTTTTTTTCTTTTAATATTATCTATATGATAATATCCTATCTTTCTACATAAATTTTTATAACATTATTTTTCGTAATTAATGATTTGTATTTATGTGAAATGAAATGTATAAAATTTAGTTACGTAATATTATATAAGAATAATTTCAATTTAATATGCGATAAATATAATATTACGAATTTAAAGGGGTTAAAGAGCGTTTCTATCTGATATTACCCTCCTGATTGCTTTCACCGAAGTAATGATGTCGAATGCATCCGAGAAACCGATTTTGCTAATTGTACAAAATGATTTGTGTACTGTTCGCCACTCATGTTGGTGTCGTTTCACAGGTAAGTCGAACCCATCATCGAAAAATCATTGAAACGTTCAAGAACGTTAAAGGAGATCGTACGAGTCGAATTTACGAGCGTGTCAGCCACGCGCGCTGGTGAAACCAGAGGCAAGCAAAACAACGAGACGACGACGATACGAAAATAAAATCCGTCCCGTCGTTGCACGATGTTCGCGGCCCGTTCCGACGACGCAGCCAAGGTTACGTGCGACGACGAACCAACGAGTCTCCTCGTGAAAGTCAAATTTGTAAAGCGCGTATATGAGAGAGCACATACATGAGAGAACGTGTGAGAGCATTCGCGCGCGCGCGTCTTTTCTCGAAGCGAGCGCGCGTTCAAGCGAATGCAACGCCAACTGGCGGCTTATAAGCGCGATGTCGTTTTTTCGACGCCGCGACGAAGCAACGCGTCGCCACTGCTGTTCCTTCAAGGCTGCGCCGTTACGGCTGACGTCTCTTGCTGCTGCTTACCGATTGCTCGATCCCGTCGTTGGTTGGTAATTAGCGATGGGAAGTTTGTACGAGTAACGCCGGCAATGTAAATCTTCCAATTCCTGCGTAGAAAAATCATCACGTCGAAATTTTGTTGATTATTAAGATTGTTGCAGAAATATTTAATTATTTTTTGCGATCAACTAATCGTTCTAGACATTTGTTGATATATGATCAATACTTAGATACAACTGACAATGATAAATGCATCAAAAACGTAGGATTAAATTGTTTTCAATAACGGACTCCAGTGGTAAAGTCGATCTATTATAGCATTTATGCGATAGATTCCTTTATGGTATAATATTCCAATTAAACGAAACTATTTAACTTTTGCATTTTTTCTAATTTTTTTAACAAAGATTCAGATTTTACGTGATTTTGTGCGTACATATATGTACATATATATATATACATAATTTTCATTTGCAGAAGTAGTTTTATAGATGGCAGATGCAAGGATAAAGTTAAATATGATAAATGCGACGAATACTGGTCTTCTCTTTATCGTTCTCGTCTCGATAATATACAATATAGATATGGTAAGAACATCACGCGATATGGTATTAGCAAGATATGAATGTATCAACGCAAATCTAGTATGATTGCAATGATTCTTACTAGGAAATAATATAATAAAAAAATCATTTTAATTATAAAAATAGCGCAGATATGATTGCATTTTCTTTAATTTTTAATAATAGTATCTATGTTCAAGATTATATCAAAACAGTTCTACGCCATTATCAATATCGATGATGTAGCTTACTACTAGATGATACGAGTAATGCTAGAACAGTAACGAGAAAGAGCTAGCAGTAAACGCAGACGACGTAGACGCTGAAGACTGGCTCTGTCCCGCTGCTGCTGTTACTGTTATTTTTAACTCGACGCCGACGCGTCGAGTCCGTAGTCTAAAACCGTCTACCCTCCTTCCTCCCTGTACTCCACCAGATCAAGCTTCTCTTCTCTACTTCTTCGTTTTCTTCTATATGACCCGAACGATAGAAAAGACGATTAGTGAAGTAATCACTTTGAATGGTATTTCCAAAATGAGGAATTTTCTACTTTTAAAAATGAAGAGCGATAAGTTAAATTTTAATGGAAAAATCCATTATTGAAATCTATGATAATTAGTTCTCGTAACTATGCAATTAGGAATTTTTAAAACTTTTATCCATAATTATTATAAATTTGACTTCAATTAAAATTTTTTTCTTCATTTTGTGTATTTTTTTTATAATTACATATTAAGCAATGATAAAATTATAAAGAATTTTTTTTATACAATAGTTTTGAAAATTATTCGTTACTAATTTTACTTAATTTTTTAATTTCCTAAGAATAAAATGTAAATATAATAACAGGAATTACCATATAAAATTGCCGCGAGAAAGGTATTTATTAAAAAAGTTTTAGCAATGTCCATCACAAAAGAGTGCCGTGAGCGAAGGAAAATTTGTTTCGAAACCCAGTTTTCCCGCCAGTTGAATTGGCAACGCTGCGTAACCAGAGAAAATCAAGAAAGAACGAGACAATGCAATACTGGCAACATGGAAAAAAGAGAGGGAACGAAAAAGAGAGACCTCGAAACGTGGCAACGCAGCGCCAATGCGTTGTAGACTCGGTTCCGTACTGATACCCACGCTCTGAGGTCTCGCACGATGTCGCTCTTGCGCTGAACAAAATATCTCTACACGAACTTTCTACTCGTAAGAATGGGGTTGTCGGCGCAATAATCATACAATATTTGAGGGTAGAATTTTCTTATTTAATATAAAATTGTCTATTTATTTTTTAATTTATATCTATAATATAATAAGATTAAAGAAAGAAATATTCCATATTTAATATAATATTAAAAATATTTGAATTATAAAATTAAGTTCTCTATTTCTAACAAGATAATGTATAATCAAGAACATTATATTTTCCTTTTTTCATATTTGATATAAATATTTTAATTGATATATTATTAAAATTATTTTCTGAAAAATAATTATTTAAATATGATAAATTTTTGTTTTTTTTTTTTAAGTTTTTTATATATTTTAAATAAAGATATATATATTTTATTTATAATAAAATGAAATACTTTTCTTTTTGAAAAACAATTGAAATTTGAAAGGCTCTAGTCCATCGTGTACCGCTGTTTCTTCAACGTTGGCTGGGGCAACTTTCTAGTTTAGCGTATAGGTGTACGTAGCACGTACGCATGGTCTGGCTCATATATAGCAACATATGCGTTAATCGTGTGCGTACAGGGAGTATGTATGCGTGTCCGTCATATTAGTATATGTTTCTTTTTCTATCATTCGCGCACGCGCGCGCACGCGCGCGCGCTCACGCTCTCCCGAGCGTGTGGAGGAAAACTGGTTCCAGGAGAATAGAGCAACTGCGCCTTACCAGCAACAGCAGAAGGAACGAAAACCTCGACACCCTCGCGCGAGTTTAATCTCGTACCCGTATATACCATGATCCTTTCCACTCGTGAATATTTGGAACGTCTGCAAGGACGTACCGCAAGGTGCCTTTCAACAACAAATCGTAACTGAACTTCTTAACAGCAACTACTAGATTTTTTTTTTTAAATTTTCCGTCTCATGAAGAAGAAACATGTTATATAATTGTTTATTGTATGTAGTAAATATTCTAGACTCTAAAATGATTCGTAAATTTAAAACAAAATATTTAAGTTTCATTTCCGGTATTGTTGATTCGAATAATTAACAATAGAAACTAAATTATAAATACAATATGATTTTTTTTCTTTATATTTTGTAATTAAATATCAATTTTTGATTTTTTTAAATTTAGATTCATAAAGATTTTTAAATTTAGATTAAAAATTAATATATATTTTACAAGATTTTATATATCTATAAATTAAATACACGCCTTAGCAACGAAAATTTTAATAGACATGTCTGTTTTACCGACAGAGTTTTCTATTAGTATTTAATAGCGAAGCATTCCTTTTTTACATACTATCATTTTATAGCTCTTCTATTTCTTTATATCTTTCTTCGTTGCATGTGCAGATATGTATACACATACATGTTGCTATATATATATATATATAGCGTCGTACAGCGATGGTGCTCTCTCTGTAATATACGTATCCTCGTTTGACTTTGGGGTAGTTTTACCCTCGCGGGCGGGCAACGGGTTGATTGCACTGACGGCCCCGCATTTGGCAGCTTTCTCACTCGCTCTTTTTTTCTGTCCCTATCTTTGTCCTCTCTCTTTCTCTGACCATCACCCTCTCACTTCCCCGCCTTATTCCTTCCTGTTTTACTCTCGTGTTCCAGCACCGTTTTCTCTCTCCCTCTTTACGTCGCACTCCTAGTTATTCTTTCCTTGTCTTTCTTTTTTCAATTTCTCTCTCTCTCTCTCTCTCTCTCTCTCTCTCTCTCTCTCTCTCTCTCTCTGTCTATCTCTCTCTGTCTATCTCTCTCTCTTGATCGTCCTTTCACTCCCTCTATTTCTGTCATTTCTTCTCTCTTGCTAACTCTCTCCTACTGGGTTGTCTTTCACCTCCCTTTTTCACTCTATCCTCTCGTTTCCACCAACGATGTGGTAAGGGGGTGGAACGAGCTAAGGTTTCCATGGCAACGCCCCATGCGCGCGAATAACGTGTCTCTCTTTATCCCACACGTTCCACCTTCCCCTCCAAAACCATACTTTTCTTTCTTTCTCACACTCTCTTTGCGTTACTCATGGTCTCTCTTTTTAGCTTCTTTCCTTCTTGTTTCATTCGTTTTCTTTCTTCTATGCGCACGCACGCGTACAGCATGTATGTACACCCATACATACTGTTTCGCTATCTCTGTTGCTCCAATAGTGTTCAACGTACAGGCTTGTCCAATATGACCGGCGAGTCCGTACGATATCGAGGCTTCTCGAGGAGGACGAATAACGGGCGCTCTCGAAACGAGGATTCCGCGATGGGCGAAATCGTCGTTGGTGCCGTATGCAAAATTGCAGAAAATGATAGAAGCACATAATAGATAGATTCAACAACGAATTTAAATACAATAATAAAATCGGGAAAGAGTTTTGTTCCTATTTTCTTTTCATTGATATAATGGGCGTGGCAATATATAATATATATAATTTTAAAATAATTTAATTAAAGTTGATTATCTTTAAGTTTCCAATTTTAGTTCTAGATTTATGTATTATTTTTTATTCCGGCAATCTTTTATTAAATATTCACAACAAATATTTAAATTTTTTCTTATTATTATATTAAAAAAATTTTCTTGTATTACAATTTTACAAAGTATGTAATTGAAAAAATGGATAAGTTTTTGAATGTACAATACAGCGTTTTCCCTTCATTGTATTAATTTTTAGTTCTGGCTGAAGCATAGTTAGATTTTCAGACAGCTTCAAGTTAAAAAAAAAGGGAAGGAGCCTTGAAAAATGTATTTTTCTGAGATCGTCAAAACGCATCATGATAGAAAATGAGAGATGACTGATAGCAAGCATCATGAAGGAGAATGAGTATGGCGCGGTCGGTGCTCGTCATGTAACGCGTTGCGTAGGTGTGTTTCGCAAAAGTTTGCTTTACCCGTAGGGTAAAAGCGGAATGAACCTCGTTAAAGAACTCTTTCCGGAAAGTTGCTAATTCCAGCTTTAATTTATTTTATAATATAACGTTAATAGCCATGCGTCCTTTCATCGGTCTGAATATGTATAAAGGGCAAGTGGCAAATCCGCGCCGCTTTTAAACTTCTCTCCGCGTAATAAACTAGGAGAAACTCGTATTTCATTTTCGCGAACTATGTTTTTGAGTAATCTTTTCCCTTCTATATTCACTATATTGTTCGAAAACGATTTTAGATCAAAAGAAACAACATTGATGTTCGAATGAATGACGAACGGCACCACACGATATCTTCAGGGTAATTATTACTGGTGAGTGTAGGAATCATGTCGGCAATTAGAAGATCGCCTCTAGTCACGGTAAATCCAACAGCAAGCACCATTAAGCAAATAACCGCGAGGCTACTTCTACCTGTTATTTGCTGAATTCGGCTGTCAAGAGCCCTTTTCT